TGTAGCACAGAGCTCCTAGCACCATATCCAAGCACAGAATTTAAGGTCACAGTTTTGGGACAGAGAATTCTTTTTAAAGCAGGACAGTAAGGGTTAAGACACTTATATTCAGACTGTTGTGCTACAGATCTGCTCAGACTGATCTGGGGCAAGCCACATAACCTCTTTATTGGGTAGGATTGGGCAATCTATAAGTTGTGAATTGTAACACATTCTAAAGACTAGGTAACGTTTGAAGCACATCTAAGAATGTTCAGATGGGTGTTCATTGTTTGAAAATCACAACATGAAAACTGATTTCTGTTTAAATAGATGTTGAGCTTCATCATGATACCTTTAGATGGAAGCATATTGTTTGCAAGACCAATTTGATCTTTACAGAAAAAAAATCTATTGGAGTTTGGTAGAAAAGAAGACATTGCTTTTTTCTGGGGAGAACAAACTCTCTTGTTTGGGTAAGAGAAAATAGACTAGAGCCTTAAATAAAGAAGACTGGTCTGCAAGAGCCTACAAGCCATCAGGGACCTGTGTTTAGAGTACCTAAGTTTCTCTTTAGGGCTAATAGCCCTGCAAAGCAAAGGGATCAGGGCATGTAACAGTGACTTGTGAGAGGTCAGGCAGTTCTGTTGGCCTCAAAGGTGTGAAAGGCTTGTCTTCTGAATTCAACCCAATGACCCCCCTGTAACTTAAATGAGACACAGGCTGGGAAAGATTTTGTGTCATCAATCTCCTCCTTCCCCAGCAGACAAGATAAAAAAGTGTATACACAAAACTGCTCAGCCCAGTTCAGATCTCCTAATTATCTTTTTTTTTGCCCTGTACAGACAGCCTTTCACTCACTTTCTTGTGAAAATACAATAATAGAGCCTTCATAATAGGGAAAAACACGATCCCAAACCCTAAAAGTAACTAGATCTCTTCCTCTTCTGCATTTTCCTTAGTCAAAAAAAAAAAAGGCACCTTATCAGCAAGTGAAATCAAGTTTGTCTGGCATGATTTCCAGGTTGCTCCTATATTAGACCAAATGAAATTTCTGTCAATCAATCAGTCAACTTGCTGGAAAGTTGATCATTATTTTATGATAAAAGTTTTTTTTAAGAAGTAAAACATCAGTTTATCAAAACCAGATTGGTCCTTAAAGGCTGGAGAAAAGTCTTCAAAGAAAGTCTCTATCCATTATATCTTGGAAGAGCCGGGAAAATTGGAGACATATATCACAATTCTTTTTTCTTTTTCTTTTTCTTTTTCTTTTTCTTTTTCTTTTTCTTTTTCTTTTTCTTTTTCTTTTTCTTTCTTTCCATACTGCATGTCTCAAAGAACTGATAGTGTCTATCACTCCATCAGCGTGTCGTGCTCTGATTGTGATCTGTCCAAGGCTAATATTGATGGAGCGTTGTTGCTGTGCATTGGGACAGTGAGGAGAACAGGTGACCCCAAAAGCCAGAGGCTGCCTTATGAAAGTCATCCCAAAGGGTAGCGCTTACCAGAGCACCTCTGGGTAGGCTCTGCTCAGAGCCACAGACAGAGTTGGCCAGGATGGTTCCCTGCCCCTCCTGCAGTGAGAGAGCAGCAATTCCAGGGGAGGATTTGATCAGGGCAGCAAACAAAGGCTGTGCTCACAAACCAAGCCTGGTACTTCTGTTCTGTGTGGAGTTCTGCCTTGGATCTACCCTAAGAGAGCTCTTTTGCTTCCAGATCTACCAGATTAATCTCACACTCCTTTCTAACTTTGTCTTGGAACTTGTTTTAAAACCCACACATATCTGAAGGATAGCCATGTTGAGATCAGTGTTTCCTTCTTAATTCTGTGGAGGAAGAAAATTGGCCAAAGCTGTGAGAAGAGCTCAGCTGTGTGTGGAGGTTTGCAAAGGATGAAGCCTTCTGGATTTCCAAAACCAGGCTGCAGGACTCTTGTTCTCTTTCTTAGTGAATTCAGGTTGGCAGATCAAGCCCAGCCAGCAGAGACTATTCCTTTCTATCATTCTCAGAAAGGAAGGGTCAGACCTCTGCACAGGCTACTCTCAAGGCAGAGGAAGCTCAATTTGTCCATTTGCACTGGGTCAGAAGAGATTAATATTACATTTCTGCACCACTCTGCAAATGCCCACCTCACCCAGGTAGTCCTCTGTCAGCAACAGCCCATTTCCAGTGTACAAACCCACTATTGTACTGTTTATATCAGTTAATTCAGCCCTGAGGATCTTGTGCCAGGCAATCTCATGGCTCCCTGCTTGCATCACCTCAGCCTGGATAAAAGTTAAAGTGCAAAATTAAAACATCAGCTATTGGGAGAGCAGGACCCACCTGCCAAGCCATTCCCACTCTGGCCTCCCATTCGCTGAGGGCCTACACCAGAGTTAATCTCTGCACAGTCAGGATCCAGTCAGGGTGCACCTTTCTGAAGAAAATTGTTTTCTGTCAAAATCAGCTCACTGCAAACACCCTGACTGCTCTTGAACTGTAGTCTGCCTAAGCCCTGACCCTGTGCACCTCCTCCTGCCTCTCACCCTACTGCATAACAGGAATCTTTGTTATGGGGCAACTAAGTCATCAGTCAGTCCCTCTCTGGCCTCAGCTTTCTGTTGGAAACACAAAGGTGCTGGTTTTGTCCTTGCCTCTACTTGGTCAGGTGTTCTCCGAGGTGGTTAGTGAGATTCCGTACAACCTTGGGCCCTACTAATGCAAATGCCTTATTAAAGCTTGTCTCTTGTCTCTGCAACATTTAAAGCATCATAGAGTTTCTGCTGTGATGATATATCACTGAAGTGTACAAAGGTCTATGTGTATATGTTTCATTAATTCTGGTTGAGGAAAAATGTATAATCTGAATTGTGCCACCTGCAACATTCAGGTAATCTGATTCTGTTGTACTTTAAAACCAGATACGTCTTCTCTCTGTCTCCATTTATTAAACTAACCTGTTTTCTGTGCTCTCTTCATGTGCACCTTTTACCATAAAAGACCTCTGTCTTGACATCCTTTAAAGGTAGGTGATCAGAATCACCCAACTTGTCCTCACACGGCCTGGGGACAAGTTAGGGCACTCCATTATTTTATATGCATTTAAGATCTCTGGTAGAGGAGATAGTTACACTGGCTTTGAATTTCCACATCCCTCTTTTCCAAATATTCTCAAGTTTCTACAAATACTGATTGAATGAAAAGTTGTAGCCTCATTTATCCTGTGTTTATTGCTTAGAGCTGAGCCACATTGCATTTTCTTTTATTCTTATTATTTTCTTTTATTCAGTATTACCTCCATCATCCAAAAAGCTGTAGTCTGCCCTTCGCTTCTCCTGGTGTTGTACATCTTTGCCTCAAATTAGATTCTGGGTTTTATATTTAGAAATACCCTCCTGATTTCTACTTTTTAAAAAAATTTTGTTTGCCTGGTATAAGAGCATGAAGCTTTTATCCAGGTACAGTTGTATGTATTTTTTGTTTTAGAAAGGCCTCTGGTTTTTGTCTACCTCTTAAGGATATTTTTATATATTTGAGCATCAAACATCTAAACACGAACTAGAAGCATAGGAGAGATACAAGTAAGTTTTGTGAGTGCAGTTTGAAAGGTAGATAGTAGGTAACAAGGGGCAAACAGAACCTTTGGTGCAGCTCCGTGTGAGTCAGGCATTCATTGCAGGACTGCGTGTGGTAGGCACATGCCAGAGAGGCTCCTGTGCTTTGTGGAGAGGGACCTTCAGAGAGGTGCTGGTGTGGTGCTGTAAATATGCAGTGCAGTTGTGTGAGTGTGAAGATGCGTGCTGGAACTGTGAAAGGACACAGACTCTAGCAGCAGTCAGTACATATGCAGAGCTTTGAAAATGTGTCCTTCGTGAAATTAGTTGTATGTGCCAATTTTGATGTTTGTGAAGACTTCTGAGGGTTTGTAGCTGTGTTTTTGTGCCTGGGAATGCGTGCTATTATCCTGAATGCCCGATTCTGATCTCACATGCCACAACTTATTCCAGCGTGGTTTCATAAATTGCACTGAAGTGACATCTGAATTACACTGCTTTGAAACGGGATTCGGGAACTCTTCTGCACACGTTTGTGGCAATGGATATCGGTATGGGAAAAGAGATGGTTCCGAGTGCAGCGCTGTGGACGCGCTGAGACGCGGGTCTGCATGCGCACGAAGTGTTTGTGGAGCCGTGTGTTTGCATGTAACACGCCCGGGACACGCGTGTTCCAGCGGCGCGCTGGTGCCCTGTGCCCAGCACGGGGGTGCTGTGTGGGCGCACGGCCGCCCGCCCGCAGCTCGTGTCCGCAGCCACGGGGCACCCTTTACCTCAAGTTTTTGCATAACCCTAAACTCGGCAGCCGCTGCCCACAGGCACGGACCGCTGGGTGAGAGGGAAGGGGCGTGTGCGCTGCAGCGGCGGGACCGAGCGGAGCCGCTATCCCGTGTCACCCGTGTCACCCGTGTCACCCGTGTCACCCGCGTCACCCGTGTCACCCGCGCCAGGGGCAGCCCGGCTGCCGGCCCGCACTGCGCCCCGCGGCGCCCCGACTCCTGCGGCCCCGGACCGGGGGGTCCCCTCCCCGTCCCGGCGGAGCGCAGCGGTGCCGGGCCGGGGCTGCGCGGTGCCGGCGGCCGCGCTGCGGTGCCGGGTCCGGTGGCCCCCCCGGCCGTGCCTCCCCCAGCCGCCGTCCAAGCCCAGCCCCTGCGCGGGAGCCAATAGCCGCCCTGCCGTCTCCATCCGTCTCCCGGCGTTAAAGCTACAGCGGGGTTCGGGGCGGCGAAATCCCCCGTGGCCGTGTCCTGCGCGCCGCCCGCCTCCTGCCGCCGTCAGTGTGTCCGCACGCGGGTGCGGGAGCGGAGCGGAGCGGCGCTGCCTCCCGCCGCCCCTGCCCCGCCGCCGGGCTCGGGCCGGCTCCTCTTCCCGGCGCTCCCCACCTTCCCAGCCCGCCGCAGTTTAGTTGTTATCTTGTGTTTTTTCTTTCTTTCTTCTTTTTTTTTTTTTTTTTCTCCTCCAACTGGGAATGCTCAAACTGGACTGATGGACATTTCCGAGCTGTGCATCTCCGACCCGCTCGGCTACCACAACCAGTGAGTGTGCCGTGCCGGGGCCGGGCGGGTCGGGGGCGGGCTGGGGCCGGCGTTGCGTCCCGCTGCGGGTGGGATGGGGCAGCGACCCCGCAGTCCCGCTGCCTCCGTGCCGCAGAGCCGCCGCCGCCGCCCACCCCCGCGGGGCACGGCTGTGCCGGGGGTCTCGGAGCCGCGGGCAGGACAGGGCAGGGCAGGGCAGGGCGCACCTCCGCGCCGGCAGGCGCGGAAGAGTCCGCGGAACAGCACTTGGGGGTGTAGGCGTGCTGGTGTGTTTCTTTCTTGCCGTGTAACTTCTCCCTCTAATGCTTCATCTCCTAGGAACAGGCAGCTAACAGTGAGCACTGACAGTCCTCTCTGCGCAGTTTTACTTTCCGTCTGTGCTAGGATTTTTATTAGATGAATTACTAGGTGCCTATAAAGAGATGTGCATATAAAATTATACGAACCCGATCAATTAAAGCACCGTCTTTTATTTTAAAAGTCTGTTTTTCATCTGAAATGCACTATGGAAATTCAGTTTCCCACAGACTACTGTTTTGGATAGCCTACCCGGGAAAAGAGTGAAGTGAGTCGGAGGGCTAGCAAACAGACATCCCAAGCTGGGACTGGTGGCTGATACCTTAGCACCTGCTACTGCTCTTTGTATTCCGAAGTGGGCTGTGCCTGGTAATGCTGTGTTTAAAATCACTTTAGCGTGTTAAGTTTGGTTCGATCCTGTTGGGGAAGTTAGGAAACAAGGCAAAACCTTTTCAGCGTTTACATCCAGCTGACTGGAACAATTAATTTTAAATGCATTTCTCTGATAAATCCCACCCTGAGCAGAGTGTCCTCTTTTGTGTGTTTGCATGTTAATCCGTGTGTCACCTATGCAGGTTTTGTGTCATCAGAGGTGGGAATTAAGTAATTTTGCCTATTTCATTGCTTTTGTCATAAGAATACATTGTATTTAGTACAATTAAAATAATTAAAGTCAAACAAATCATCCCCAAGTACCCCTCTTTCCTCATTTCGGCTTTTATTTGTCTTTCTGTACCTTGTTTTCTGATATTCCATCTGTCTTTACACTCATTTCTCTTTCCTTTAATCCCCAGCTTCCAGCAGTTTCATTAAAATGAGACTTCGTATTGTTAATAGAAATTAATAATCTAACCCATGTGGCTTTCTTTTCCCCACTGGTGCTACACTTGTGGCTGCTCCACTTTGAATTAAAAATAAACAAACAGTTTCTTAAGGGAAATGTATTCTGTATGCTGCTGGGAATCTTAATATTTAGGCAAAAATAGAAGATGTATTTACCTTCAGAAAAAAAAGAAAATAACAAAATGCCACAATGAAAACCTAGATCTTCATCACTTACTATGTAGTCTCTTAACTTTTTTCCTTTTATTTTTTTGTACTTTTGGAATTGAGAAAAAGGAACTCAAACAACATGAAAATAGTAAGAAGTAATCTGCATGTTGTATTGCTGTTCACCCTTTTTACTTTTTCATGGGCTTTCAGTCAGCTCTCAAAAATGTCAAGTGCACCTTACCCATATGCATAACTCCTTGGCTGCTAAATAGACAGATGAAGGTGGCCCTGGGGGAAGTGACACCGAGCCCCTATGGCTTTACTGAAGACAGAGAGTGCTGCTTTTTGAGATGAGAAACTGTTGGAGAGCTCTTTGTTTTAAGAGGTGCTTGGTTCTGTGTGCCAACTGACCTTCTCTTTAACATTGTTGAGGTTTGGTAAAATAGAGAAATATAATTTAAAATATTTCAACCTCAATTTTTTCAATGTTTTTAATTTAAAGGAGTATGATGGTGTAGGGAAGTCTGAAAAAAGTTACTGAGAGAAGTAAGATATGAGCAGCTTTAAAAATACAATATATAAAAAGGTATATGTGCAGTGTGTCTGGTACTGATTTGATTTACATTCTGGTTTTATTAAGAGTAGATTTCACATTATATTCCTGTAGCTGAGGATGAGTTGGCCCATCTATATCTGTTTAACCATCTTTTTCTCCCACTGTAGCACAGTTGCCCTGTGAACATACAAAGTAAATACAGGTGTTGTATTTGTGCCTGTATCCCTAACTAGTGGTGTGAGCATATTATTCTTACTGTACTGATTTATTCTTTTGACTGCTAGCTATTGAAATGATTTTAAATTATTTTCCTCCTTTTTTTTTTTTCCTAAATACCACTTGTAATTCTGTGGATGGCAATTTTTGTCACATTAAACCTTAAATTAGGAGCTAATTTAAAAATATTGCAAACTGCTTCTTCTTGTTTAGTTACTTGTTAAGCTATAGGAAAAAATATGAGGAAGGCTAAAATGTTGGGAGAGAAGTGGATGTGGTCACTCAATATATGATCCATACAGTTCCCTGGAAACTGTATTTCACCTCATAATTATTGAAACAGAGGGAAGGAGCAAGGCAAAGGAGAGGAGAGGTGACTCCTTTCACCTTGGAGTTTGATGAGATCTTAATTTTTGTAACAGTCAGATTCAAAAGGAGTCTGAACAAAACCTAAGGAAAGGAATTCCTTTCCTTTAATTTGTTCTTCAGGTTTTGTATTTATCTTGCTCAAGCAGTGAAAATTCCTTTTCCATTGCCTGTGTATGCTGATCTAAGCGATTGCACCAGGAACCTGTGGAAGTTCTGGTTAGCAGGTGTGTGGTTTCTCTCAGTGCAGAATCTTTCAGGAGGAGTAAGAAAATGCTTCTTCCTAATTTTGATCCTCTGTGCATGTACTCTAAGGCCATGTATGTTTTATTTTCTTACACAGAAATCCACTCTTTAGCAACCGCTTACTACATTTTGGTACTGACCTCTGGGAAAATTGTTCCTGGGGTAGATGATGCAGGTCCAAGAAAGAATCTTTTGTAAGAATTGGAATTTGTTTAAAGCATTTTCAAATTAGGAAATTAACAAAGGCAGTGATTTGTACCTGCAGTTTGTCTCTCAGGTGAGGGCATATGGTGAGAATACATTAGTTAAACTGTACTGACAGCGCCTGTCTGCAGTACGGCGGGAAGGGAACGCGTGTGCAGACACCACTAATGTACACACTGCCATATAAAATATGTCATTAGAGTCACACACAAGCACATGTGTACATCTGTAAATATTTGTGTGTTGGTATACACACATGCATATGTGTGGTCATGTGGAGTACTGGTGTATCTCCCTCACGTGCAAACCTAAGGCTGTTTCAGTAGAGAGTAAATACGGCATTTTTACTTTCCCGTATTAACTTCGAAATCTCAGAGAATTTTGTTTTCTGCCTCATTAAAATTGCCACTAGAAATGTCGACAGGACTACAAAATTGCCATTTCTGTTTCTTATTAATATTCTACATGGCAGACAGAAAGTGACCAAGAAGCCATTATGAAGGTAAAATAAAAATCACTGGCAAATGACAGCATCCTGCCAGATGCTATGTCTCTTACACTGTTTCCTCTGAGGTAAAAGAAAGACAGGTGAGTCACTGATGTAATAAAAATAAAAAATGTTTTATGAAGATTAGGAAAAAGTTGAAAGGAATAAATTACATATTTGATAGAGAGGTGAAATGGTATAATGTTGGAATTTTAAGGCAATGGAGGAGCAAATTCCAGACCATGCAGCAGCAAATTAACAAAGTTGCTGTCACTGACCCTAATGCATAGACTGAAGTAATGTGACTTGATTTTAGAGGTTACTGGAAATCTCCATATTCTGTGAATGGGAAGAAATCTGAGTAAGAGAATCTGAATGCAACTGTCTGCTCTGAATATGCCTCAGAGGCTGGAATTGGAAGTAGTTGTTAATTGGAGAGAATAGGATGGAGTTGTTTGTTTCGTTGACAGAATAAAATGAGAAACCTCTATAAGGAATTGGGGTAGTTACTGGGTTTCTGACAGGGTTCCCATCATAAAATAGGGTCTCAGTACACTGAGCTTAGTGAGCGGAGGGCTGATGAGGAAATCAGTACCTTTAGAGTATTTGTATTAACTTTTCCCTCCTCTTCTAATTCCACTTGTAAAAGTAAACATGATCTAATCATTATCAATTATTGAGAAATATGGAAAGATCAATATATTTAAAAAATAGGATTTTTTCATTGTATTGATTTGAAGTAATCAATAAATATTGCATTTAGCCTGAGAGGGGAAAGACTTTGGAGAGATTGCATCAGAGAAAGTTGCTGTGATAGAGGTTTCATATCCCGTTTTCTTCCTCTCCAAGAGAATGTTGCTCTACTCTCTGTGCCCTTTCCGTTGTTATTTTCTAGCCCTGTTTCTGCACTGTCACTACTGCTCTGAATTTCATGTTGTTTGAAAATACCTGTATTCTTCAAATTATTTCAGCTCAATAAGAAGTTTTGTGCATTGTGTTAGTGGGTCTCTTTACAAAATTTCCCATAGCTTGAAGGATTCAAATTCTCTTAAGGAACAGAAACAGGGAGAAGGTAACAAGGTTTAAACCTGAGTGTAGATGAAATTTACGGGTTCTGTCAGGAGCAAGGTAGAATTTCTCCACAGAGTGTGAAGTGTCTAAGAGAGATTTAATTAAGGAAAGAAATAGTAAAAGTAGAAAAACATGGTGAGAAATCAAAAATCCTTTCCCCATCTTCTTATTCTAACTTGTGCTCCTTGGTTTAAGAGTTGGGGGTCATAGAGATGCACATCAGCAATTCCAGTGTAGACTGCAGAGATGAGGAGATTCTTCCCAGTCAGACCTGTTCTTTATTCTGTGGAGCTACTGGCAGTGACATTACAGCCAGGGAGCACAAACAGAATTTTTAGTCTGCGCAGTGTGAGCAAGTAAATATAGCATCTGCCCCAAACCCAGCAGTGAGCATCTTAGGTAGTGCCGCTGTAGAAACTGGGGGGAAAAGGGGGAAAGATCAGAGTTTCTGTGACAAACTATGAATCAGAATGGTTGGTTGTTTAGTGAAGGAACTTAATAAAGAAGATATTAGCAGCAGATAGTTATGGTGACCTTGCCTAAAAATAAAGGAAACACTTGGTT